CCTTCATTCTTGGTCGCAAGCAAACGGTGAGCCAAAGGCGGGGCTTCAGCTGAGGTGGGCCAAAATTTGGGGACTTGTGCAGCCGAGGGCTTATGGAAAACCGTTTGTGGATTCTGCTGAGGGGCCAAATAATTGGGTGACCGTTTGCCAACCGTCCCCTTTTTTTGCCCCACCTCCATTTTTGGCACACCTTGGCATCCACACGTGGTCCCCCACCCCATTCTTGGCCCACCTCGGCAACATTCTTGGTCCACAAACGGTCAAACAGTCTCTCGGCCGCCATCAACTGGCCCATGGCCATCGGCCGTTTCCAAACTGGCCCCAATCGTGTCCACTCGTTCACGTCCAAAACGGACTCATTTTCTTGGCCACTCGGAAGCATCCAAAACCACTTGCCCCCATTTTTGCAACTCGACCCCGTCTAAGATGATGAATGATGGGAAGTGATGTGCTCTTTGTAAGCCCCATTCATCTGTTACAACACGCCAACAGCTGCTGTAGCACATCAGCCAATTACCATCAGCAAAGAGAGCAACAGCTTCAACAATTGTCTGTGTGCATTATTTGGCTGGACAAACACAAAAGATTGCACGAATGTTCTCCTCGATTCCCACAGACCAAGCGCAAGAGGAGGGAATCTGCGCTGAAACTCCAAAACGCCTTCGGCTACCTCTGATTATCCCATGCAACACTCTGTAGGACCCACTTGCACTCACACACCAACGGAAAAATGCACCAGAGGCGCATGACATGAAAAGAGGCATGAACAAGCCTCCATTCATCATTCCCAGAGAGGTGATTCCTTTCGTCCAGGGCTTGCCCACCTAATGAACATAGGTGAATGTGTCTCAACTCGAGCAATCATATGTCATAGGGTTCGAAAGCAGACGGAGAGGCAATTGTCATTCTCCGGTTTTTCTGATGAACTTGGGCGCCCGAACGGATGGCTTCCACCAGAGAACCTACAGTCCAATTCGGCCAAGGCGACCAGCCGGCAAAAGGCGAGGGAACGAAGACCGGACTGCAAAACAAGCGCTGATTGATTGGCGGTGTGGTTGATCCGAAGGATTTGATGAAGACCCGGCAAGTTTCCGCTTGACTTTCCCAGCTTGCGCCAACAACTGAGAATGATGATTCCCAAGCTTTCATATCAGTCCAAGCCAATTGGTACTGAGAATTGCCATTCGTCAACATAGTTTGGTCCAGGATCCTCTTGCTTTCAGCTGAAGAACTCAATATCCCCAATAAAAAATGCTCTAGCAACTGACTTGACACTACGCGCTCAAAGCATCAAAGCAAAACCTTCCGCTCCCAGCACATGCGTCTGAATATAAGCCGCAGAAACAAGGGACAAGCCATTCTCCCTGTATAGCGACTCGGGCAAGTACCTGTCCAGTCTGGTTCTTGTTTCTTTTGTGTGAACCCTTTGCAAAACTAACCTCACAAATTGCCCTTCGAGGACACCGCCCACAAAACACATCCTTCTGAGTAGATTCGGTCCTGTCTGCCGATGAAACGCGACACAGCGGTTTCGCATCCAACACCGCATCTCACTACACGCACGACGGCGTCACAACACCGTTGAGCAGGTGGGAGGGGGCCGCCCTCGAGTATTGACTTAAAATGCGGCAAAAGAAGCCAATACAAATCCCAGCAATGACGTCGCTACATTTCAACAACTTGCCAATTACGGGGAAACGCTTTCGCCTGTTTCACCTCAAAGCAGCTGTGAAGACTCAACAACCCGAAGTCTATGACTCGCAGGTTGCGAGTTGGCAAACACGCAAGGACTCCAAACTGAAGAGCGCCTCTCACTTGGCACCATGAAGCGAACCCTTTTGGGGCCCGAAAAAATCCGCGATCCTAGGAATCATACGAAGGGCCCGCTTCGTTGAGACCCGAGCGCTCAGATGGACGCGGAACGTCGGTGAGCCAGGCCTCGAAGAGGACTGGCCACCCAAAAGGAACCTTGAAGAAACCCCTGGGCCTTCAACCGCCGAAAGCCCGGCTGGCGGGAAATGCCAAGTTGAAATCACCCTGTCTCTGTGAGACAGCTCGCGCTCTTCAATGATCTTAACTCGTCAAGAGATGCTAACGAATCCTGTCTTCAAATAGGGAGTTGTAGGCAATTGGAGTCCCTATCGCTCTCGTTTAAGCCAGAAGCCAGGAAAAAGGTGCGAATCCCAAAGTCAAATGTTTTATCGGGACCCAAAGCAGGATAAGAGGGATTTGACGCAAGGCCAATGTAGCCTGTTTGATTTGGAAGATGGAAAACGGGCCCTCATTTTGATTCACTCCGGCTGCTCCGCTCAGGCTGTATACAAACGATTTTGATCCGCTCCGGCTGTATGCAAAACGGTCCCTCGTTTTCCCCCACTCCAGCTATATGCCAAAAGGGTCCCTCATTGTGATCCACTCCGGCTGTACGGTTTTCCTGGCTCGCTTGGCTCTTGCTTTGCTTGCTTGCTTGGCTTGCTTGGCTTGCTTGGCTTGCTTGGCTTGCTTGGCTTGCTTGGCTTGCTTGGCTCACTTGGCTTGCTTGGCTTGCTTGGCTTGCTGGCTTGCGGGGCTTGCGGGGCTTGCGGGGCTTGCGGGGCTTGCGGGGCTTGCGGGGCTTGCTGGGCTTGCTGGGCTTGCTTGGCTTGCTTGGCTTGCTTGGCTTGCTTGGCTTGCTTGTCTTGCTTGGCTTGCTTGGCTTCCTTGGCTTGCTTGGCTTGCTTGGCTTGCTTGGCTTGCTTGGCTTGCTTGGCTTGCTTGGCATGCTTGGCTTGTTTGGCTTGCTTGGCTTGCTTGGCTTGCTTGGCTTGCGGGCTTGCGGGGCTTGCGGGGCTTGCTGGGCTTGCTGGGCTTGCTTGGCTTGCTTGGCTTGCTTGCTCGGCTGGGCTCGGCTCGGTTGGGCTGGGCTGGGCTGAGCTGGGCTGGGCTGGGCTGGACTGGGCTGGGCTGGGCTAGGGTGGGCTTGGCTTGGCTTGGCTCTGCTTTGCTTTGCTTTGCTTGCTTGCTCGCGCGCGCGCGCGCGTGCGTTGGTGGTTGCGCGGGTGGGTTGGTGGGTGTGTGTGTGCCTCCCATGCGTTCTCCCTCTGCGGGCGCAAAATGAAATATTTGCACAGATGATGATAATGACGCTTACCCAGGGATAACGTAAGCTCACCCCATGAAGGTCCCGACCGAACCGGGGGAGGGGCTCGGCTTGTCCCAGTCGATTCGTTCACTTTGAGATTGGGACAACCTTAGCTATGACACGCAAGGGAAACCCAAGTGAAACCACCATTTCGGGATTATGTGGCAGACACCTTGCACCAACCAGGCATTGCATTTGAGCAATATCCTGGGGCCTCTTCTGCTATATTCCGCCCATCTTTTCCCCTTGCCTGGCAACCCAGAAGGGGCCAAGACGGATATCAAAGGGAGCCCGAAGAGAATGCCAGAGGGGAAACAGAAGGGAAAACCAAGACAGAAAACCACAAGGGGAAAGCTTTGGGAAAAGAAAAAGGGAAAAGAGCAAAGGGAAACCAAAGTGCGAATCCAAAGAGGGGAGTCAAAGGTGGAGACCAAAGGGGGCAACCAAAGGGGGCAACCAACTAAGAGGCAAGCCCATCGAATAGCGGAGGAGCTTCGCAGGCGACTTGCTATGTTCAAAATGGTGCCAAGGAAACCACGACAAGGCACCTTGGATCCGGAAAAAGCAAATGGAGGAACCAAAGGGGAAACCAAAACAAAGGGACCCCAAAAAGGGGAAGCAAAGTTCTTGCTGCTTTGACAAAGCACCCCTGAAATTTCTGGGGCCGGGGCAGTTCCTGGAGGCAACCTGCCAGGCCAGCACAAATGGAGGAGCCTATTCTGAAAGCTGAGTTAGAAAGGCTTTTTGTTTTCTCAAGCGCGCTGGCCAAAGCATGGAACGATTCTTTTCAGGCCCGCCAAAAAATGGATCGTCGAGCACTGTCTTTTCAGCGTACTACGAGTTCAAGGCACTGGACCCCAAAATCGACCGGAGTGGTCTCCTTTCTGGCCATGGACAGTTCTGAAAGGTGTGTCCATGGTGTCAGACCCTGCAAATCACGACGGTTTCTGCGGAACTCCGACTGAAGCCAACCAGGTTCACAGAGGAGAAAAGGGCAACTTCAGCCTTCCAACACGGGTCTTAGTCAGGAGGCAACCCCAGAAACGGCCGAAGAATGGATTTTTTAACCAGTCCAGACATGCACTTCATTCGAGAGCATCCAGCTTGGGTCAACCCACAAGCAGTGACAACCTGCTTGAATGTTTTTACATTGAAAGGCGCAGGAAAGCGCAAACAAATCCTCAACGGAAATATGCCAAAGCCACTTATGACCACCTGCAGCTGGTCCTTGTCGAAGCTGAGGCGCGACGGCCATGTGGCATCGTCAGGCAGAATGGAACCAGGGCTGGCAGAGGTTCGTTGGTTGTCTGACTTTCATTTGGTCCTTGTTGCATTCAGAGGGGAAGATGTGAAACGACAAAATAAAAACAGTGTCACGTGACATGGCATTTAACAACTAAACACGGGAATGCGTTTACATGCGTTCCTTCATAGTTCTTCTTGCCACTTCACATTTGCTCAAGAGTCGGGATGGAGAGAATAAAATTTGTGCATGAAGGGAATCTCATCTATACTTCTCAATATTTGAATGCCTTCTCGAAATTGTAGGTTCGCAAGCCTGAAAAGCAAGACGTTAGACAACGAAAGCAAGACTCAAAACCCTGGACATCTTGCACTTAAAAGCGTGGCCCTGCCCCCTCATCCTAACGCATATCTATGCGAGGCATTTTACCTAAAAACAACACAGCCCTCATGGTGTTTCGCTCTCTTTGGATTCCCTTTAATCAACTTATGAGATAGATAATCCATTTAGCAGCCAGGTTCTACATTTAAGAAACCATTGCAGCATGCCAACCAAAAGCGGGTCCACCATCTTGAGAAATACTCTTCTTGTTATGTGAAGAGCAAGAAAGAAGCGTGCAACCCTCGCCCACGTTTTGCATCCATGCATACCTTCCACTTGCAAAGCGGCCGCATGCGTCCGCTCATTCTGCACTGCCTACTGCGCGCTGCTTCCCACAAGCACACGTTACAATGCGGCGTCCGACGTCGCGCGTCGGCGTCGTGGCATGCAAATCTGACGCAAATTCTGGCGGATCACAGCTACCTGGCGAAACTTGAAGAGCTTTGCGGAGCCACCGAAAAAACGCTGGCTAAATCCTTCGCCAGAACCCAGCAAACGTGCTGTAATTGTTGCACAGCCCAACATGGTGGAATCCCAATTAATAAGCATGCCAACCTGACCTTCTCGGCGCATCTGGCCCTATTGTCACTAATTGAAAGGTAGCTCTGTGCAAAAATGCGATGAATAAAGCATGAATGCATGCGAGAAAACATGCGTACACGTTTGGCGGGGAACAAACATCGCGAAAAAGAGTGGGTTGGCGTCTCCGAAAGAAGCTACCCCGGTCGCGACACCTGACGGACAACGAGCTCAGAGCGGGCGCAGAACGAACTCAGACCCGGGACTATTAGCACATTGCGTGGCAGGCGCAGCACTAGGTTGGATTGGCTCAGATGTTGAAACCTTCTTCAATTAACAATTCCGAATTTCAAATTAGCATGCTGCTTACCTAATATATATATATAACATCTCATTAGTACTGACAACTGATTGTTATTTACTGACATTATTTGATTCAAAATGTGATACCTCAATTGTAGATTTGTGGCAGGCGCAGCGCTTTGGAGAACAAAAAAAGAAGAAACAAACTAAACATCGTGCGGCAAGAGCAGCTGATAAAAACATGAAGCAAGCTGTTTCGTTCACATATAGATTGAAAGATAGAAAGCTAGATCTAGACAGATAGATGGATAGACAGAGAGATCGACAAACAGACAAAAACACACAGACAAACAAATAGATAGACAAGACAGAGAGAGAGAGAGATAGAGAGAGGGTTTGAAACCCACTGGGTCAAAAAAGATATGGTGGGTAATACTGTTTCAGGTTGCCGTAATCTACGATACTGTCCAGTTGGCAGGCGGCTTATCCTAATATCTACTCCTAGGATTGATACCAGCCATGACAGAAGCACCCATGGTCGGCCCCTTTCTGGGACACCTCCATATCACATTACAGGGAACTCCCTCGGTGTCACAGAAAGTGGTGACCTAGAATCCTGTTAAAGTACCTTGAAGGGAGCCTTCAAAGGATGCACCCTCGTTCACATGCACCCTTATGCACCCTCTGCCCCCAACAACACAAAGCATTTGGGTGTTTTTGTCAACGTCGAGGAACTCCCAGCACATACAAACACAACCACAAACACAACCACACACACACAAATGCGTGAGCGCAATCCTCTTTTGGGAAGGGACCCCTTGTTGGGAGCACCCCCCTCCGGCACAAAAAGTCGGAGCTTACTTGGGCACAAGCCCCAAAGCGATTGTGTGTTGGGGACCTGTTTTGAAAAAGCACACACACAACAGAAACACACAGAAACACGAAAACCTGCCCCTCCCCACCCCACCTCAGAAACCTCCTTTGGAGTAAGCTAGTAGACAAGGAAACCATTTCTGAGCTTGAAAGATAATCTAGCAATGAAACAGGGGCTTTAAAGGTGGAATCCACGGAGGAACTGGCACGATCGCTAGCGGCAACTGCCTTCGGCAAAGGCCTGCCAGTGACCCCATGGATCCGCGTCAAAATAGGGTTGTCTCCCAAGTCGAAAAGATGGTGTTCTTTCTGGATCCTAATGTAGAAATCGGATCAGCTCGCTCCGAACTGAAAGAATCCATTTGTGTGAGTAAAGGCAAGGGTTCCCATATGTCGCCCTTCTCGTTTTTGTTGGTTTGGAGGGTTCATTTTGGAAGGTTTCCCGTATGATTGTCCACGGGTGGTTTCAGCACCACGGGTTCACAATCAAGGCATGTAAAGAAACATCCATGCAGAAATCTGTCAGGGAGGCAAATCAACCCGGGGGTTTTACAAAAACGGGTTCCCACAATGGTTCATCTGCATCATCTATGGCGAGCTCACCGATTCGGGGGTCTTTCCCGAGCTCAAGCCTTGGCAACATCCTTTTGTTGGGGATCCGATCCTCTTCTTGGCAAAGAATCGTTTCTTGGCACAACCCATGCCGCAGCTGCTTAGCCACACCCCATGCCTTGCCATGACTGAAAGATTGGGATGTTTGTTTTCTAAAAAAAGGCAATGCAACTCCCATGGTTTGGGTGCCACCCTTGTTGGTTTCCTTCAAACCTTGAGACAACAGAGGTTTGGCCACGCTCTTGTGCTATTTGCGTTTCTTTTGTGCCCCCCAAACAATCTAAATAAATATACATACATATATACATATATACATATATACATATATACATATATACATACATGTATATATATATATATATATATGTATGTATGTATGTATGTATGTATGTATGTATGTATGTATGTATGTATGTATGTATGTATGTATGTATGTATGTATGTATGTATGTATGTATGTATGTATGTATGTATGTATGTATGTATGTATGTATGTATGTATGTATGTATGTATATGTATGTATGTATGTATGTATGTATGTATGTATGTATGTATGTATGTATGTATGTATGTATGTATGTATGTATGTATGTATGTATGTATGTATGTATGTATGTATGTATGTATACAAATGACAAAACACGGACACGGGCGGGTTTGCTTTTCGGCTTCTCTTTAAAACCTGCCTCAAAAAGGGATGCCTTCAAACAGAAGCGCGGCCTAGAGAAGCCGGGAGATGGAGCTCGCCTCGCAAGCGTCTGAGAACCACCCCATGGCCCAGCGCTCGGTGAAACCAAACCTTCAGGTGGTTTCAGGTGGGTTTAAAAGGGAGACCAACAGGGAACCAGCCATTCTGCCTCCTTGTTCCGAAACACCCATTTGGGTGTGAGTTTCGCAACCTGATTCATGGCTTCTCAAAATAGGGGTCCGTTAGCATGATGAGCTTCCCTTTGAGTCACAATCAAAACCTGGTATTAAAATGGTGTACCCAAATCCGTGAGAAAATTGAAAGGCGTGGACCCCCCCCAGGTTTTGATGGCTCTTGTGGAATTCCTGTAAAGTCAACTAAGACGGGGTCCACCCTTCACCCCACTTCACTTAAATCCCCCACTTGGTGGTTTGGTCTGGCGGTTTAGAGGATGGGGGCCTGTGTAATTTGAATGAGGTTGCGCGCTACTGTTAGACCAATTTATGTAGCGCGTGATTGTGAAAGAACAATCCTTGTAACATCTTGTAATTACCGGTGGTTTGGATTGGTTTGGATTCGGAGTTGAGCCGGTTCTCGAGGGTTTCTCTGGGGCTTCCCACCTCCAACCCAAAGGGAACCGCTCTTTTGCAACGTGAAAGGGTGAAAGGTCAAGAGACAAAGCTGAAGATGAGCCGTCGGTCGGGTCCCAAACATGGAGCTAAGAGGCAAGTGACAGCGATGAGCACATAAGCCTTGAAGGACCTACCAATGCCAGCTGTTTCCATACCAGGCGATTGACCTACGACTTAGTCATCAAGGATCAAAGCGGCTGACGAAAGGTTGGTTGGAACCTTTCTGCAGGGCGTCTCTCCTGACGTTCGCAAAGCATGCGTGCCCCGTGTCTGGGGTCAAACTACTCCAAAGCCATGGGTAAGAGACAGGCACTGAGCCTAGAACAACACATGACTTCCATGACCCTCTGGCGTGCTGGCGCGCTGACCCGAATGGCTCAACTGTTTGACCCAGGCATTGACGAGATTAACGCATGTGTCAGATTAACGCATGTGTCATCACGGTTTTCCCATCCTGCGGCCGCATTCTCACTCTCGTGTCACAGAAACTACCTAGTCTTTAACACCATGCCGCCTAATTTCGTGGCATTGCCGGAACACAGGCTGAGTCTCAAGCTCCCCCGCCAAATGGTTGGTTCCCCCTTGGGTTGCCTTCAAGCCCAAACGGGGTGCAAACTAAAAACACATCGTCACTTTGCGACAATCCCATATGTACATTGAACATTGGCCCTGTTATGAGACATGCATCCCATTGTTTGCTTCACGGTTTCGTCGCCGGTAACTTGCGACACATATCGTACTTGCACCCTTTCAAATGGAACCAACAGTCGTTGAACGTCCTGCAGGCAAGTCACTACGTAGACTCGAAGTACGCGTAGTTCATTCCTGCCAGCCTGGAAGCTGGCAGCTCCTGGCGCAAGTACGGGAGAGTACGACATGTCTACCACACATGTCTGCAGCCAAGTGGCGCCGTACTCCCCGTCGACTGCGCCCTAAGTACAAAACACCGAAACATTCAAGGCGGCTGTTGCGGCATCGCGCTGCAACACGCAACTCGGACTCCAGCTGCAACCTCTGCTGGCGAAATTTGTGTGGCCAAGAAACTCTAACGACAAAACGCGTGGCTATGTCTATACAACGCATTCTTCCTTCAAGAAAGCTCGACATGCCTCAGGAAACGATACAGCCATCAAAGGTGCCACAGGTGAAAAGTTGGGTATGCAAACGTGCTCCCTAGCCTTCAGCCGTCACTACTCAAGCGCACAGGACACCCCTGGAAGATCCATGGCCAAGGCACTCGATTGCATCATCCATGCATCATCCATGCATCACCGTGACGCACTTCTCCATGTTCGGAGAAAGGAGCTTCTAAGAAGTATGTTATAAACGCTCCAACTTTGACACGTAATGACACTAGCTGTCCACAATCTGCGACCAGCACGCGCGCCAGTGGAACTAGTGGCACTACGTCCTCCCTCCCCACCCCCCCCCCCCCACCCCGCACGCTCCCCCCCCACTTGCCCCCCCTTACGCATCAATCCCCCCCCTTTCCTAGACTACAATCCCCTGCTCCCAAACAGCAATACCCGCTTTCGACACAGAACACCCGCAACAACAATTTCTCAATAACCCCCCCCCTTACTGTTCGAACAACAATCCTCCCGCTCCAAAACAAAGAATCCCCCCGCCCCCCCCCCCTCCCTCCCCCCCCCCAACATTATTCAAACAAAGCCCCCCCCCCATTTTTGTTGAAAAAAAATAACACCCACCCACCCGAAGAATGAAAGCAAGAACACCTTGCCCCCATTGCTACAACAACAACACCTCAAACGTGTCTGCGCCCCCCCCCCCACCGCCGCCCCCCCCCCCCACCTTTGGTGAGTCGAGCAAGGGCACAAACGCCTGGCAAGCCGTGCGCTCGGGTATCAGTGTCCGATGCTCCCACTAGAACAAGGAAGCCCCCTGAATGTGCTGTAGCCACCATGGTGTTTTGGTCGAGTGCGGTTGGCTTACATACTGGCCTAGTCAAGAGCACAAAGTGCATCATCATCTTGAAGCACTTTCATGAGATCAAATACGCAAGCCTCCTCTTCCCAAGTGTTTCCCAGAAATCTACTCCAGCGTTTGCCCCAAACCAAAATGCCACGGTTGATTCTCGTCCACGTTCAGCAAATCATGCCACCGGCACAGCGGCGATGCTTGAAGTCGGGAAGAGGGAGGACAGCTCAGGACCCTTGTAACAGCCGAAGGGCAAGCCTTCAACTTGTACCCATGGCGTCACTGTCCAACCGGCTGAAAGGGCAGATGCCTTTTTCCAAAGAAACTACCCAACCAGCCAAAACAAAGGCAAGTCCTCCTCATTTGGGTCATAGTCAAAGCCAGGTGTGAGAGGAGTCTACCCAAAACAATGCTGGGCAGATTCCTGCACCTTTTGGTGGTTGGGGCGTTCCCTTGTCCTTCATGCACCCAGATTTTGCTTGTGCTAGGAACAGACAGCGGCGCCCCAAAGGACCGACCTTGCCGAACTGCCGATCCTCCTGGCGCGAGAGAAGTCGAGCTCAATGGGGAAATGAAGGCGATGGGGAAAGACCTGAGGTTGACCCTGCTTTCCAGTGGGAAGTTTGTGAGAGTTCGCCGACAAGAACATCAGTCGCTGGACGCTGGGGCCGGCTCACACATGGACAGGTTGGGCCGGAAAGTAGGGGGATGTGTTTTTTGACTTTGAGATTTGAGGCTGCGCTTTAACCTCGCGCAAAAATCAATCCTGAGAGTTGCTCGTGTCATGCAAAAACAGCCCATTCTCATGGCGCATGTGCACGTGTACATATGCACACTCATTCCGCATTGCCTTTGTCCCAGCTACAGTAAATAGGAAGCGGGCGTCAGGCGCTTGTTGCTGCAAATGAATCTGTTGTCATCACCCGTTGGAAAGGCCTCAAGTTCTTTCGAGTGCTTCATCTTAGAAACGCATGCCCCGATGCTTTCGGCCACCCTATGGACCGTCCATCCTTGGGATCCTTTGACACCGCCAGCTTCCACCGGCCTCCACTCGCTTCTCGCAAAGGTCGAGCATCTGCACCAAGGTTGGGCGTTGCTTCGGTGTTGAGAAAAACAAGGACAATGGAAGCAATCTGCTGGGTGTGTGCATCCCGCTTTCTGCATTGGAGTTCATGCTCCCAACAAATTTGGATACAACACAAAGCTGGGCTAATCTGCTTTGCTTTGGGGATCTCTCGGGATCGTGTGAGACAATTTCCAGCTTGAAAGACTTTGTGTTCAAGAGCTAGTTGTGTTTGCTGTTGGTGTTGCGCGTTTGTTTTGCGTCCCACAAAGGGGTGTGAATCCGCCGACCCCATGCCTGGTCCAGAATGGACCATGCTTTCGGCATGGGGGCGGTGTGTTCTGTGTTGCTTTTGTTGATATGTTCCTCTATATGTTTAATGTGAATATAGTGATGTACAAAAAATATATATATGTTTCTAGGGGCGGGAAAATACGTCGGTTGATTTTTTTAGAATGTCTGGATGTCTGGATCTCTGGATCTCTGCATCTCTGGATGTCTGGACCCCGCCCCCCTCCCCTGAGGTAGGATTACCGGGGCCTCAATTGTGGCCCCAATAAAGAATACCTCGTGGTTGTCCCTGAACATATGCGCAAGAGAAATGTTACTGTAGATGCTGCAAGCACTTTTTGTTTGACCGCAAGGTAGTGTCAAATCACCAGGCCTGTGCAATACGGTTAACCAAATGGCAGCGGAGGATCTACACATAGCACATGTTGCCTATGAGTGGATTCTTTGTTCAGCAAGAAGCAAAACAAGAAACAAAACAGACACAAATTTCTTTCCACTCATGGCACAGCGAGTTGGTGTAAAACTAGCCTGTGGTTCGACAGGCCTGAATATTACTGTACCGTAGCCATATGAACGAATCACAAAAGTTTTCCGGCGATTTCAATTCCCGGCTGAATCTGCGCGGGGCCAGCAGGCCAATGTCCGGAGCGAAAGTCATCATTCTGAAAGTGAATATCCGTTGGATCTCAGAGCAATTCCAAAGTGAAATGCAGATCGCATGTGGAAAGAATCACATCTGCACTGAGGAATATGGTCATCAGTCATAAGTGACCTAATAGTAGCCTTGGTCTCGAACATCCCAGCGGTTCTTTGAATATCGATCTCGACGATCAATCTGGGCTTGGGCAACATTTGGTAGCCAGCTGATGCAGCTAATGTTGACCAGCAGTGGATTGTGCCAGTCTGTGTCACTCTCTCCCAACATACGGATCTTGTTGGTCATCAGCTTGTACCTTTCAGCGGATGTGACAATATAGGCGTGATGCTCGATATTGTCAGTGTCAGCGAAATGGTCTCTCAAGATTTCTTCTTCGTCTGTGCTTGGACCAATGGAATACGTGGTTAAACAATGCAGTCCAACACGCCATAGAATGGATTTGTCTCAATCCTTCTCTCGGTCTTGAAGTTCAGGGCTGCTTCAATCAGGGATCTGAGAGATGCACTGGTTTCTGCGGGGACTCATGACCAACTGCTTCTAATGGCACTGGTTCGCTGCGGAATTAGCGTAAGGAATAGGGCTCCTCGATAGAGGAATTTCATCAGACTGCGGTAGGTGTGAAGGATTGGTGGAGCTCCTCTCGTAGTGATACACACCCGCAGTTTGAAAGGGCAGTCCGGCTCGGTGCACAATGGATCTCGGAAAGTCTGCATATTTGTCGTCAGGAACGATAGGCAGTTCCTCGCAGCTATCTTTGTCGATCTCCAAGTACAGGAGTCTGCCTTCGTTGTAAACCTCAACGCTGTTGCATCTGGGAATATCATCCTTATTATGAGGATGCGTCCACTGGAATGTTGTAGATTCTGTTCCAAACTCCCTCTGGTTCGCCCGGTTGTTCTGGGCTGCAAGCATGACAGCAATACCCCGGTTGCGGCTGATCGTGAGTGGATATGAAGATGGTGATGTTGGAACACTCTGGTCGAAGCTGATTCACAGGAAAATCACGAAGCTTGTTGGTTCTCACGAAATCGGTAAAATCGACAAAGTGGTTCTGAGCCCTTCCCTGCTTGTGTCTTGCGATTCCCCTTCGTCAAGGATCTTTCTTCAAGGATTTTGCGTCAGTAACATGGACCAGAATCTTGGCCGCAATGTCGTCGCTATCAAGAATAATGCCATCATCAGTTGGCCGAAGGCCTTCAGGACGCACATCAGGAACTTCTGGTTCTTGGGCTCTTTTCTTCCTTTTGCTTAGGCATGGCCTTTGGCTTCAGCTTCAGATTCTCTTGGAATGATGAAAGTCTCGTTGAATCGGATCTCTTCTGGCCAGAATCTGACGATATCTGGCTATGGCCAGTGTCGGTCCTTGGACTTGTTCCATGAATTTCCCCTTTCCTTTGTTGAACCATGGATGCTTGATCGGTGGTGATCTCATCGGCCATGTTGGCCTTGCCGCCGGCCGGTGCTTTTCTGAAAGGGTTAAAGCTGCCACGCCGGCGCTTTCCCTTGCCTTTTCCTTTTCTTCCTTTTCCACCCTTTCCGGGTCTAAGGGTTCGTCGTTTGATCTTCTGTAGGACAAACGCATCATGGTCTTCTAACTGCAAGAATGACTCTTCATCTTCCAGTGGGCAAAAACTTCCTGAATGGTGGTTCGGGTTGTGATGAACAGTTCATGGTACTGTTCCTTGACAGCTTCATATGTGAACTGTGGAAGTTGAACGTTTCGGAGTGACATGGCTGAGATCAATCTGGCTCTCTGTCAACTCGCTCTGGGTGATGAAAAACAAGGTAATAAGGTTGTCTGACAAAGAAAAGCCCGTGCGTGCTGCTTCTGTCGTCCTGTAGCAAATTGTTGGAACACTGCAGGATCTGTCGGATCCAGGATGACTGGATCTCGGATGATAGGTGCAGCCGCTCCTCGCGCCTGTGCTGCCATCATCTGTTGAGCTTGCGCGACTTGTTCAGCGTGTTGTTCACGCCGATTTGCCTCCTGAATCGCCTGAACATATTCAGGGCTGGCTTGTGTGTAGTTTGGTGCAGTGTCTTCCCAAGATGCTCTCAATCTTTGCAAGAGAATCACGAATTTGCTTATGAAACTCACAAATTCACCCGCACGCCGGCGATGATTGAAGAAACTGAAGAATCTGTACAGGAACACATTCTGGGATCCCTTAAGGAAATATCCTCTCAGTGCCGTGAGGAAATATTCAACTCCGTTTGTAGGATCAACAAGTCTGTTGTTGTCCAGGAGCTCTCTGTAAATAAGGGCATCATGGGTAAGTCAATTCTTTAACAAGGGTCCTTGCCGATGTGTTCATCGAAAGATTGATGTTCTCCTCATTGGTGGACAGATCTCCGCCATGACGGCCTGCGAAGGCCCATGCGGAATCTGTCATGAAGAAGTCTTCCGGAAAACCTGCTCCGCTACCACAATTGAGGTTGGATTACCGGGGCCTCAATCGTGGGGACTCAATAAAGAATACCTCGTGGTTGTCCCTGAACCAATTCCGGCGAAGTCAAGTGTGTGTAGGCCACGTGCGGCGGGTGAACGCGCGACGGGCGCGGCGGGCGCCGCGGGCGCGGCAGGCGCCGCGGGCGGCGGGCGGGGGCGGGGGGGGGGGGCGCGGGCGCGACGGGCGCGGCGGGGCGCGGCCGGCGGGGCGCGGGGCGCGGGGGGCGCGGCGGGCGCGGCGGGCGCCGCGCGGGGCGCACGCGCGCGGGAGGCGCGCGGCGGGGGGCACGCGGGCGCGCGCGTGCGCGCGGCGTGGGCGGGGGTGGGTTGGGTGGGTGGATCGGTGTGGGTGGGTGGGTGTGGATGGGTGTGTGCGTTGTTGGGTGGGTGGCTTTGTTGTTGGTGTGTGTGTGTGTGTATCCCACGCATTCCTCCATCCCATGTATCATTACATCCCACAGACCCACCTCCCTCCCTCTCTCCCACTTATCTGTCCAGCCTGCGCGGCGGACATGCGAGGCCGGCACGAAAATAATTACACGAGAGGGTTCTATCAGTTATGAAAAGGCATGGTGTCTAGATCGCGGCGACGTCGTCTCGCTCACTTTGACTGCGCGGGTGCGCGCGAAAAGGTCCGGGCGAGCGGATGTGTTTCAAACGCGCTTTCGCGCTGCGTCGCGCGATGTCCGGAAATTGCACTGGATCGCTCTCGCTGTGGCGCGGCGCGAGCTTTCACATCGAAATCAGCCCTCTGGACTTTGCGGGGGGTGAATTGGTCGCTGCGGCCCACTGTGCACATGTTGAACATCGAAAGTGAACCGTCTGCGGACTTAGGGCGGGTGGGATTCCTCACGTCGAAAGTGAAGTGTCTGCGGACTTTGGGCATGTTGGATCGCTGGTTGGTTTGCTCTCGCCGTAGCACTGTGTCAGTTTCCATCGTGGAAAATGAACCCTTTGCAGACTTTGGGTGGGCCGGATCACTCTTGCTGCGGCGCGGCGCAAATAACAAACATCGACGGCTCAGAGCCCTTAAAGATTTCCTTGCCAGAGATCTTATAGAAGATGCTTTCTAAAGAGCCTGGGCAGAGAACTTGCGCACAGAGGATATTGTCATGGATCCTGCGCACAAATCTTGCCGAGATAATCTTGCACAGATCCTTCAAGAGGTCTGCGCGGCACCTGCAGAGGTTTTCTTGCGAAAACTTGCAGAGGACGCTCTCTGCAGATTCTGAAGAGAGAACTTGCAGAGGATACTCTCGGGGATCCCGTGCACAGGTCTTGCTAAGAGCTTGCCCAAAGATCCTGCAAGGATCCTTCCACAGAAAATATTGGCCAGGACTTCTACACGAACACTGAGAGATCTTCTCAAGAAATATGTTGAGCAACCTTTTTCAACAGGAGCTCTTTTGGAAGAACTTTCAGAAGGATTCTGTTGGAAGAGCAAGCACAAGACGTTCTAGAGAGACTCTGTGTGGTCATGTCAAGCAACTCTCTGTGAGCATTCTGCTGCGGTTACTTTCATGTTACCTGGGCCCCTTTCTCAAAAATGTCCACATCTGTGACCACTGTTTGAGAGCGAACGCGTTGGCGGCCTTGGTTGTTGTAGCGTGGCGGCGAACGTGTTGTCTCTGCGGTCGCGGGTTCGAATCTGGGCGGTGGCTGTTTGGTGGATTCCGCATCAGCTGTTCAAAGAGTTGTGTGTGAGCACCGCCTGTAACATCTTCAGCTAGCTCCCGGTGTTTTCAGCATCGCTTGCAAAAGGATCCCCATTGCGTGCCCTCGAAACACGAAAAAAAATTGGTGCAAAAATTGGACCCCTTTCATCCTCAGCATCACCTGCAACTGGCTTCGAGCCCAACGTCCTCTTCCAAGGAAGCTTTTTTGCTTTCTTCCAAAACGGCGGCGGCAGCGCCCGTCACTACTACTAAACCGCCGTGGCTCTCGACAAACTGACATTGCGTAAGCTCGTTTGGCGCCCAATTGAGCTCGGCCTGACTTGTGCAAATTGGAGAGCATGAAGCCACCCATTATGCTGAGACTTTCTATCGAAAGTAGGGGGAAGTGTTTTTTGATTTTGAAATTTGAGGCTGCGCTTTAACCTCGAGCAAAAATCAATCCTGGGAGTTGCTCGTGTCATGCAAAAACGGTCCATTCTCACGGCGTATGTGCACGTGTACATATGCACACTCATTCCGCCTTGTCTTTGTCCCAGCTACAGTAAATAGGAAGCTGGCGTCAGGCGCTTGTTGCTGCAAATGAATCTGTTGTCATCACCCGTTGGAAAGGCCTCTTGGGATCCTTTGACACCGGCAGCTTCCACCGGCCTCCACTCGTTTCTCGCAGAGGTCGAGCATCTGCACCAAGGTTGGGCGTTGCTTGGATTTAAACCCATCATTGTGACTAACATGATGCAATCCGTATGCTTGGATTGGAGCTGGCAGGCAATCCACCCCCAAAGGCCAAAGAAACTGAGTGAACCACGCGGTGGTAGCCAAAAAATGGTGAGAATCCTTGGCTTCTCGGTCCGGAACCCGCAGGTCCTGTCTTTAAACCGTAAAGGGACCCTCGTAAAAAGAACTCTTTGTGGGGCCCACCAATGCCGCAGATGCAACATGAAGGGAGGGTGTCAGAAAACAAGTTTGGTGATCTTTCTTCGCAAACGCAGGGGGAAAGTGGCGAGCCGCGGCTATCAACACAAAGCAACCTGCCGACGCCTCTGATGGCGCCAGGTTGCCCAAAGCGTCTTGATCAATGAGTCCGTGGACGGACCAAAATCCGAGGATGGACAAATCTGCGGTTGGCGGGCCCCCAAAAAAAAAAACATAGGACACAAGCAACTTAAGTTCCCTCCCTCTAAAACGGATCTCTGGGCAATTCTCTGAATCCTCGCTTGATAAGGACGTAGCAGGACGAGAAAGTCTCCGGAACGGCAACGCAACTGCTCTGCGCCTTTTGGCAGGTTTCAGGTCCTGTGCTGTGCTCAAAGGTGATTACCCAATATGGGAAGCTCAATTAGTTGGGGGTTATCAAAGGTCCTTTAGATAGGATGACCATTCAAAAAATACTGTTTTTTATATTTCCCACCCAATGATGTGGACGATTGATCAGCCCCAGTTCGATTGGGAATGCCAGGGTCTCATACATTCAGCCTTTGACCATTGAGCCACTTGTGTGCCAAGGCTCGAAATCGCCGCCGTCGCCTGCGAAAGCACATGCAACGAAGGACCAGTTGGACGAAAGTGCGGCTTCCCTCTGGTTTGGATTGGTGGGTTGGCGGGTGCCTCCCCTCTTGCCCTTTACAAGACCCGGAGGTTCAAATCCCCAAGCCCCCAATCCAAACCAACAATTGAAGTTACTAAAACAAGCAAAGGAAGAACAGACTGAACTTGTCCTAGGACCAAAGCACTAGGTTTAACCTTGATCAACATGAAGAGTGACCGTTTGGTGCTCATGGCTAAACATCACTGACCCTTTTAAGGTCATGAAACAAAGTTCCTTAAAGGAATGACCACAAATAATCTGGCACGCAAGCGAATTCTCTGGATCAGCAAGTATCGGTGACGCTTTACTTGGGCCAAACGTATACTTTACGCGACCCCGTGGTGAACCAACATATGTACCAAAAAGAGGGAGCCACAAGCTTTGAGGGTCGGCTTTGAAACAAGTGACTAGCGGCGAGAAAACAAGTGTGAATAGCGGCACCAGCGTTACCTGACAGGATGACACCCCTGGTTGCGCTGCTCAGTATCAATTTGGACAATTTGTCAAGTAAACACGATGTGACTGCTTTGGGGTTTCATGTTCACGCGCAGAGTAAAATCCCCAACTCATGCGCGCCCCAACAGGTTTGCCATGATTACTCCTTCAAACATTGCCCCTCCAAGGAACTTCTGTTTGAAGGGGGGGAATGCTTCGCGCCAGTTGGGATTGGTCAAAAGAGTCCCCAAAAAGGAGATAATTCTGCAAAAGGGCAGTTTGCAGGTTCCATGTTAATCTAATCACCATGGGTGCCACATGTTGTGGCATTCACGTTGGGTAACTCCGCCCAAAGTTGGCCTTTAAACGTTTTTTTCTTGGCCACGACTCAACCGGGTCCGAACTGTGATGTCATGCTTTGGGAACCTACACCTCGCCAAGTTGGCTCCAAGGAGAGCCGATCTGACGGAGGAAGAGAAAAAGTTGTTCCTTACAGGTCAGGTACTCAATCAGGGTACTCGAAGTGATTAGTTTGCCCTTCACGAGACCATCCAAACCAATTTGGGAAACATCAAGCCTCCCTAGTCTATCAGGTGCTTCTTCTGAAAAATAAATCCACGTGGGGCTACTTTGCAACGTCGGGGTTTCCGCATTGCTTCTGCCTGTCGCCAGCCTCCACTCGATGACGAGGCGGCCCCCCACAAACATGGGAACACGGCGCCAGGCAGGGGGCGCGTTTCAGAGGCAGTTGGTCTAGCTACCACTGCAGATTGCAGTATGTCAATGGAAGGGAGGGTGTCAGAAAACAAGTTTGCTGCTCTTTCTTGCATTTGCAGTTGAACTACTCCAACGGTTCCGCTTCGCGAAAGCAGGCAGAAAGCGGCGAGCCGCGGCTATCAACACAAAGCAACCCGCCGACGCCTCCAACGGTGCCAGGTTGCCCAAAGCGTCCTGACCAATGAATCCGATGGGCAAAATCCTCCTGCTTAAGCCCCATATTTCCAGTGAAAGATTCCCTCTAAAACAAAGAAATGCTAGGCAAATGGAGGTCTTGGGACCTTCCCCGAGGCATCCCTAAGGCTCCCCGCCCTCAGCCTTTTGGTGCCCCGCAAAACCCCAAAACAGAACCCGCGAGCAGTCTGCACCTCAAAATAGGAGAGCGCTCAGAAAAGGTGCTGCGCTTGCGGTGTCCCTTGCTGAATGGGATCTCGGGGGAAGAAACAATGAAACGAATTACCCATCCCCGGTTGGCTTCCTTTTGGGTGACAACATTAAACTAATACGCCATGTCAAAATATGTAAATATATAAATTATATATAGAGGGCCCAGTTCAAAAAAAAACAAAAACAAGAGGAAACCAAGTTGAAACCTGGGGGAAATCCAAGACGAGGCCGATCGGAAACAGCGGAATTCTTTGGAGCACACACAGATGTAGCACCCTCAAAACAACCCGCCCACCTCCCCAAGTTGCGCTTGTCCTCCAGAGGGTAGCATTTGGTGTCTTACGGAAGTTCGGGTTCCCATGAGTCTCAATCATTGGGACTTGGACCCTACGGTGGTTTCCTTTTGGCTTTCGTTGGCTTCCATTCACAAGCAACCCAAACGCGGATTTCACACAAAGGATTAACCCACGCCAGTTTCCCGCTCGTTCAAACTCAAAATCTGCGGTTGGCGGGGCCCCCAGTAAAACATGGAAACAGGCAACTCAAAAAGATTCCCTTCCTCTAAAACGGATGTTCACAGGTTGGCCAATTCTCCGAATGACCATTGGCGAAAATACCTTTTTATATGTCCCACATCGGAAAGATACCCAATTCAGCCCATAAACAAGTTTGGTGATCTTTCTTGAATTTGCAATTGAACTACTCAAAAGGTTCCAGCCTGGCTTCGCAAACGCAGGGGGAAAGCGGCGAGCCGCGGCTATCAACACAAAGCAACCTGCCGACGCCTCTGATGGCGCCAGGTTGCCCAAAGCGTCCTGATCAATGAATCCGTGGACGGACCAAAATCCGAGGATGGACCCACCCCCTGCAACGTAGCAGGACGAGAAAGTCTCCGGAACGGCAACGCAACTGCTCTGCGCCTTTTGGCAGGTTTCAGGTCCTGTGCTGTGCTCAAAGGTGATTACCCAATATGGGAAGCTCAATTAGTTGGGGGGTTATCAAAGGTCCTTTAGATAGGATGACCATTAAAAAATATATTTTTTTATATTTCCCACCCAATGGTGTGGACGATTGATCAGCCCCAGTTCGATTGGGAATGCCAGGGTCTCATACATTCAGCCTTTGACCATTGAGCCACTTGTGTGCCAAGGCTCGAAATCGCCGCCGTCGCCTGCGAAAGCACATGCAACGAAGGACCAGTTGGACGAAAGTGCGGCTTCCCTCTGGTTTGGATTGGTGGGTCCCTCTTGCCCTTTACAAGACCCGGAGGTTCAAATCCCCAAGCCCCCAATCCAAACCAACAATTGAAGCTACTAAAACAAGCAAAGGAAGAACAGACTGAACTTGTCCCAGGACCAAAGCACTAGGTTTAACCTTGATCAACATGAAGATTGACCGTTTGGTGCTCGTGGCTAAACATCACTGACCCTTTTAAGGTCATGAAACAAAGTTCCTTAAAGGAATGACCACAAAAAATCTGGCACGCAAGCGAATTCTCTGGATCAGCAAGTATCGGTGACGCTTTACTTGGGCCAAACGTATACTTTACGCGACCCCGTGGTGAACCAACATATGTACCAAAAAGAGGGAGCCACAAGCTTTGAGGGTCGGCTTTGAAACAAGTGACTAGCGGCGAGAAAACAAGTGTGAATAGCGGCACCAGCGTTACCTGACAGGATGACACCCCTGGTTGCGCTGCTCAGTATCAATTTGGACAATTTGTCAAGTAAACACGATGTGACTGCTTTGGGGTTTCATGTTCACGCGCAGAGTAAAATCCCCAACTCATGCGCGCCCCAACAGGTTTGCCACGATTAGTCCTTCAAACATTGCCCCGCCAAGGAAATTGTGTTTGAAGGGGGGGAATGCTTCGCGCCAGTTGGGATTGGTCAAAAGACTCCCCAAAAAGGAGAGAATTCTGCAAAAGGGCAGTTTGCAGGTTCCATGTTAATCTAATCACCATGGGTGCCACATGTTGTGGCATTCACGTTGGGTAACTCCGCCCAAAGTTGGCCTTTAAACGCTTTTTTCCTGGCCACGACTCAACCGGGTCCGAACCAAGTTTGGGAAACATCAAGACTTCCTAATCTATCATGCATGTGCTTCTTCTCAAAAATACATCCACGTGGGGCTATTTTACAACGTCGGGGTTTCTGCATTGCTTCTGCCCGTCGCCGGAAAAGCTCGTGCCAGCCTCCGCTCGATGACAAGGCGGCCTCCCACAAACATGGGAACACGGCGCCAGGCGGGGGCGCTTTTCAGAGGTAGATGGTCTAGCTTCCACTGCAGATTGCAGTATGTCAGTGGAAGAGAGGGTGTCAAAAAACAAGTTTGCTGCTCTTTCTTGCATTTGCAGTTGAACTACTCCAAGGGTTCCGCTTCGCAAAAGCAGGGGGAAAGCGGCGAGCCCGCAGCTATCAGCACAAAGCAACCCGCCGACGCCTCCAACGGTGCCAACTTGTTGCCCAAAGCGTCCTGATCAATGAATCCGATGGGCAAAATCCCACTGCGTAAGACCCCTGGCCAAAAGCACATATTTCCAGTGAAAGATGTCCTCTAAAACAAAGAGATGCTAGGCAAATGGAGGTCTTGGGGCGGAGCCTAAAACCCCAAAACAGAACCCGCGAGCAGTCTGCAGCTCAAAATAGGAGAGCACTCAGAAAAGGTGCTGCGCTTGCGGTCTCCCTTGCTGAATGGGATCTCGGGGGAAGAAACAATGAAACGAATTACCCATCCCCGGTTGGCTTCCTTTTGGGTGACAACATTAAACTAATACGCCATGTCAAAATATGTAAATATATAAATTATATATAGAGGGCCCAGTTCAAAAAAAAACAAAAACAAGAGGAAACCAAGTTGAAACCTGGGGGAAATCCAAGACGAGGCCGATCGGAAACAGCGGAATTCTTTGGAGCACACACAGATGTAGCACCCTCAAAACAACCCGCCCACCTCCCCAAGTTGCGCTTGTCCTCCAGAGGGTTGACGTGCTCCGCCCCAGCATTTGGTGTCTTACGAAAGTTCGGGTTCCCATGAGTCTCAATCATTGGGACTTGGACCCTACGGTGGTTTCCTTTTGGCTTTCGTTGGCTTCCATTCACAAGCAACCCAAACGCGGATTTCACAAAAAGGATGCACCCACGCCAGTTTCCCGCTCGTTCAAACTCAAAATCTGCGGTTGGCGGGGCCCCCAGTAAAACATGGAAACAGGCAACTCAAAAAAAATCCCTTCCTCTAAAACGGATCTCTGGGCAACTAAAAGCACATATTTCCATCCCTTCCCCGAGGCATCCTTAAGGCTCCCCGCCCTCGGCCTTTTGGTGCCCCGCAAAACCCCGTTCCTTCCGCAGGCAAGACGACGACCTTGGCGCCATGTCGCCTATGGAACTGCCCACCACCCCCGCTTAGGATGAGTCTGGCTTCTGGTACCTGCAAGTTGCCGCTGAGCTTGCCTTTCGAAGCTGTCACAAAAAATGCAAACTTGAATTCCTCATGTGGGGCGAAAGCCTTTGTGCGAGTCAACTAGACAACATTCCCGCAAGCCCATTTTTGGGGGGATCCTACTTCCATACTCGGAGCCCTGACCCGAGCACAAGGCGCCAACCTGCGCCTTCACTCCCACAGTTTGAGCGCCCAACTCCGGCAATGACCTCAAATCAACCAGTCAGCTGGGCCATCCGTATGGCCGCCATGGAAACCGATCCAAACTCCAACTTGCATCTTTTGCAAAATCGGCCGCACTCAGTTGCTTGCGTTCACATACGTGTCCTGCAAGCATCTTCCCAGAACAAATCCCGCCGGACTGTTTGGTTGCACCTCTGCGTGGCCTGCGGCAGCGAGTTCCGCACCCCTTTAAAACGCATCCCGCACCTGGATGACACATCAGAGCATGCGCAGAACTGGATGAGCCACAAAGAAATATCGCAACTTCACCCATGCCACATGTGTTTGTGTTGAAACTGAGCTTTTACGACCAATCAACATGTTGGGTTGCTTGGGGGGGGTTTGCCCGGACCGAGTGACGGTCACTCTTGGGCGTGGGTTGGAAATGCGCAAATCCTATGCGAATAGCAGTGAATCGTGGCTTCGGGATCACGCGAAGAACATGTCCAGCTTCGCGTATTCGAATCTCAGATTCGGATACGCGGTGCTGGCAGGCGCAACATTCTCATTTGCTTGAAGCAGGCTCCAGGACTGTGGCCTGACTCTCTCTTAGTGAGCGACCTTGAGAATGCCACCAACACCAGCCCGGGCTGCCTTGTACCTGCGAAGCAGACAAGTCATCAGCTGCGCTGATAACTTGCTGGCAGAACTTCCGTTCCTGCTCGGTACTGTGAGCGCAGCGGAGACAAAGACCAGCATTCGGGCCTTCAAACGCAAGGAGGCCCCAAGCCCTCTTAGACACCAGGTGTCTAAGACCACCTGCGGAAAAGTGGCAACGTGTCAGATAAGCAAATAGGACTGCGCAGTCGCGTAGAGCGCGCACATAGCGGAGACGTGCGGGGCTGGGCGGTCGGATCGACTAGTTTGAAACACAGGTTGGTGTTCTTTCCACCCCCCCCTTCCCCCCCCCTCGACAGCCGCGAACACGCTGAGGATCGGCATGCGCGGGGCAGCATGAAAGTCCGGGCACACCCCCCCCGTCAACCCAACATGTTGAATAAGAAAGTGGCTATATATGTGTTGGCGAACATAGCAAGAATATTAAATTATAAAGACATGTAGAATAACAGTGGAAAACATTGACTAACTGTGTAAGTCAAAGGAAAAACGGAGATACGTGATGAAACAAGTCATAGCACAATTAGTAACATGTTGTATTCTGATATAATGGAACATATTAAGCATGCGTTGGGTCATTGCGGGGGGGGGGGGGGCAATAGTTACCGAGCATACGCTGAGAAACAGCAGCCCGATTTACCAAACAGAGAATACTTTAAGACATGCAAATTCCTAGAATTCACAAAAATTGTTGAATGCTTGACGTTATGTTACGATGTCTTTGAGGATGTATCCAAAGGAATATTGATATACCATATAAGTATGAGTTTGACAAACGATATTCAAGAATAAGGATGCGCCAATGCATATCTGTGTAAGAAGAACGATGGATCAAAGCCCGGAAGGGTGTAGTACAAAACTTGAACACGATGTAGCAGTAAAGGCACCTCGGAAACAAACGCAAAGAAGAACACTGTTTGATATCATAACTTCAGCGTCACTATGCCATTTAACAGGTCTATATGTTATTATCGTACCATGAGTAACATCTAGTAGAGCTAGTTGTGATTCAAACAACGGACACCGCATGAACATATTCAGCTAAATAAGGTGTGAAACAGTATTTGTTTATTCAATAAACGAATAA